TTAATATTTAAACAACCCGTACGATTTTTCTTAATGTTTCGTCACCTATTTGACAAATTTCACTTTGCGACTAGATACAATTATAACTTAACTTAATTTTAATTGTTTACAAAATTAATATTAATAATAAATTAATATTTAAACAACCAGTACGATTTTTCTTAATGTTTCGTCACCTATTTGACAAATTTCACTTTGCGACTAGATACAATTTCCTTTAATTGGCGATTGTTGGAAAGAATTATCATTGATTGAAGCATTATAGTGATAAAAAATCACACAAATATAGCATATTTTTTAATGAAACCAAATAGAACTACACCCATTTTAGCAAGAACAAGTATAATTTATAGATTCGTGTTTAATTAGCCCAAATTTGTAATAAGGGATGACATTGCATGCATCGGCATATTTGATTGCGCTTGCGATAATTTTGGGATTTCTGTTCCTGTATAATTAATAGATGTCCCAGATGCGATATACGAAACTATGTTTATTAGGACAACCTTCGTGTACACGGCAGTCTGTTGAGAATACTAACTAGAAATATTAATTAATAAAACAGTCGAGGTGAGGATAATTGTGTCGTAGGTAGTTTGCGAGGTAGATATATCGACTTAAAAATATGGTCTATTTCGATAAATCTGTTACTTATTTACTCTAATTTTTAATTTTATTTTCATTGATTCGTAACACCAATAAACAGTCTCTTGTTTTATTTTTTCAAATACTTTCTTCCTTATCTTTTGAGATACTTAATATTGGTTTTATTAATTAATTAGCCTTTTGTTTATAATTAATTTTCTAGGATTACTATTATTTCACTTCAATTCAGCCTCTCTTTCTATTGACTTATAACACCAATATCTAGTAAAAATTCTTCTTATATTTGGGATACCTAGTCTTTTGTCTATAATAATTTTTCTATAATTACCTACTACAATTTCACTTCACTTCACCCTTTATTTATATTGACTCATATCACCAATTAATCTCTTGGTTTATTATTTCAAATAGATTCTTCCTTAAATTTTTTGAGACTTGATATTGGTTTTATTAGTTAATTAAATTCTTTTATCTTTCTCCTATGTGGAGGTGAATCGGACATCCCTTTTCCTTCTTTGGACATTCTTGGTACAAGATAATCAAATGGCACTCTTGGGCTCTTTAGTTATGGAAAAATATATCAACACTTACAGATAACTGCATGCAAGTTCTCGCCATCATCCTGTTCAGAAGAACTGATCATTATTTTTATTATCGAGGTCTGTAGCAACACTAGCTGAAGAACATTCAGTTCACTCTAGTTTACAACGAATATAAAAATCAAAAGCACATCATAAGCTCCTCCAGTGGTGATTTTCAGAGACTATTTTGTGCACCCCTAACCCCAAAAGGTTTTTACTAACTATTCAAAATTGGAAGAAATAAAAACCTCTTTTAACCTCCTAAGAAATCTATGAATATTTTCCATCCTCAAAATATCGAACAACGATCCCTGTTGGAAACACATTCAACATATTACATTAATACCGCAGGCTTGCATAGCCCTGGGTGCCAAATCGATCAATAAATCGATAATTAAACAATTGTCTCTCCAAATAATTCCTCCATTTAATCTAATAAGTATCCAATTAATAATGCAAATACAAAAAATAAACATTGAATACATTGAAAATTTCGAGAACAACAAATTTAATAATATAACAATATCGGTTACGTTCTGGCTCTTTCTCTACCTCTTTCGCACATATAAAGGCAATTATAATTTCAGATGCAATCAAGTCATGCCGCTAAAACTCACCAATCCAATCCAAGCGTCTGAAAATCACAGCCAGGAGAAGAGGCATAAATAGACGACGCCAACTTACTCGAGCCAGAATGCATTCATGCTTCTCACATATAACATAATTTGCATTTCTCACTTCGTTCATTCTGTCAGCACCGTCGTTGCGAACAGAATGCTTCAAACTGTCTCCTAAGAACTAACACATATACATAACTCGAGGCATTATGCCATGTTCTATGCAACAACCGTTCATATAGGTTCTTCTAATATAGTTTAACTAACCAATGAATTATTTTTCTTCTGAGTATGTTCGTACTTGTGAAATTTCTTTTAATCAGTTAAAAGTCATTTGTAATAATCTGTTGAATTTGAAAATGGTTTAATGTTAATAGAATGTGCCAAACACATGTGGGCTTTGAATTAAAGACCTTATGATCAGACTTAGTTATTACCATTGAAACAATACAGCAGAGAAAATGATTATAGAAATCATTTTAAGCAGGTAAATCTTACAATGACAATACAATCCATCAGAAGGCTCAACAGAAAGAAGCCATTTGAGCTAGGACAGTGAACGTTAATGTTAGTGCTAGTGTAAAACAGTGTAATAAATCGTCACGCCAACTTGTGATGCTTTCCTATAGAAACAATTAAGACTTCTTAGATAAGTAATTAGTTTATAAGATTTTTAAATTAAAATTGTAAGTTAGTAGTTAGTAACAAAAAAAGATTGGCCACCAGTGTCCTATTTAAGCGATGTATATGTCGTAGCCAGATTACAAAACCCGTCGTTTTATAAATTGCCTAGGCGTTTTATAAATAGAGGCCAAATTGTCAATTTTCGTTTACCTTTCATTTCTTTACTCTCTGGCTAGCTGGATTATAAAATGCCTAGGCGTTTTATAAAAAGGCGTTCAACACACGGCCAGATTGTCAAATTTAAGATTATCCTCTGTTTGACATTCCAGCGGGTAAGGAGTTTCAGTCGTCTTATAAAAGACTGCTGATTTTCGACATGAACAATTTAATTTTGGCTGATAACAACTGTATCAGAGATAAGGGAATGTAATCTTTGCTGTAAAGAAAAATTAATGAAAACAGTTCAAAATTGATCAAAAACGTGTCGCTGACCAACTGGTGCAAATCACAAAAAAATGGAAAGTTTTGGAGGGAGTAGCATGTTTTCATAACATTTCCAAAATACCAGGGGTCCTCTTGACCTTAAAGGTGTGTTAAAAACTATTCTTGATGTACGAAATGGAGTATACCAGATAGGAACTGAACATGGGCTTTAAATCGATGGTTTTCTAGGGACTAACTACTCAGTTGGTACGTAAAACTTAAATCCAGAAAATACCAGTATTACGTTAAGAGAAGCTATTTATAATGGTGTTTAATTTGGGGACAAGGGTTTAAAGAAAGCCAGTGAAAACATATTAAAGCTTAATGATATACAAACAAATGCCACAGTAGGTCTCATTTCAGTGGTCCATGTTCCAATAAATAAAATATGATTATAGTCTAAGATCGACCGTACAATTTCTATACACATCTGTTCTTAAATCAAAATACAACTTTTATAGATAATTATTGATAGAGAAATACGATTTTGCTGGGTTGCCTATCAAAATATTGCCGTAAGTGCTTTTAATAGTACTTTTTTTGTACTTTAAGGTGTATTTCTCTTATAATTATTCATAGAAGATGTGATGTTATTCTCTATACTTTTGAACACATAAATGAGTTCTCTAAAATGGAATATAATTGAGTAAATATTGAGTAAAGTCCATCAAATCAAAAAATATTTAGAATACGAATTACAGATAAAAATTATTCAGAACACTATTTCATAACTTCATTGCCAACAAAAATAATGATAAAATCAAATTTTGCACTTTTTTCCAAATTTCTTCATTACAGTCCATGTATTTTAAAAAAATCACGTATTTCACCAAAATTATAGAAAAAAACATCACAAACAATAAGAATTTTCTTCTATAATCATAAATAAACCTTTAAGTAATATTAAATAGCCATATTTTGATAGGCAACTCAGCAAAACCGTATTTCTTCATCAATAATTATCTATAGAAATTAAATTTTGAATAAAAGTTTAATTTGTTCTTCAGTTTCATTTGTTCTGTTTATTAAAAAAAAATATAATGTTTTATTTCCATTAAATATATAAATAATAAATTTGATAGCACTAACTTTAAAGTAAAATTCGTATTTTATAAAACGACTAAAAAATTTAACCCGCCTGAATGTCACACAGAATATAATTTTGAAAATTTGACAAACTGGCCGCGTGTTGACCGTCATTTTATAAAACACCTAGGTATTTTACAATCCGACTAGCCAGATCGGAAAATAATGAATGTTAGTCTAGACCTTTTATAAAACGACGGGTTTTACAATTTGGCTACGACATATATAAATCGTCCTATGAACTCTATAGCTGGATATTATATTTTCTGGCCTCTTTATCATCCAGTGGAGTAAGTTGGTCAGGTTTATATTGGAGGAGAAACCAGATATTAGGGACATAAAGATAGGAAACGCAACGATCTCAGCAACGATGGCATCTACGCGTCTCAGATGTTAACTAAAGTCGTTTGTAGACGTGAACAGCAGTGGACAGTTTGTAAATATAAATGTCAATTAGTTGTATGTGTATCGTATTGTTTTAGAACAAGAAAATGGCTTCGAAACGTTAGAGAGAAGATTTGATATAGGAAAAAATATATTTGAATTTCCATTATTGAACTCAACATTATTATAAATGAGATAGCGTTGACCATTCGTTTGGAAAATAAGAACAAAAATGTTATAAGTCACAAATAACGATCAAAAATTAAAAAATATTTGTCATGAATAGATTTACAATAATTAATCGATAATAGACTGTAAGTTATTCTTTTTAATAAATGATTTGTTTAAATGTATTTAACAGAACATAAAGAGTGCTGCAATATTGATATTTCTACAATCTATATTATCGGTTTTTAAATTTCCCGCTGCTTTACTTGTTTGATATCGATGAAAGCGCCATATAGTGGATCAGATGTTAACTGCATTCGAGCAGATCGTTGTTAAGTATGAGCTTTTTATAAGCCTTTCCTATCTTTATGTCTCTTATCTCTGGGAGAAACAACATGTTATTACAAGATATATCGGTATAAATAATCTAGGACCAAAAAACTATTCTCACCTCGACTACAGCATCAGTCTTGAGTAAAATACAGGTGGCACCCGTTTTGCTGTGGAATAGCCGGTAATACGCCACACCAGAATCATCATTTTTGCTCTGAGCAACGCTGGAAACGGGAGTGGCTAGTGGACCGATGCCCTCTGTAGTCGAAGCGCTGAACTTAGTGTAACGAGGTTTTGTCGTAGCTTGGTTGATGGTTAAGGCCGAAACAAGAGCTGTGGTCGTTGCACCTAGAAATAAATTATCGGTTTTGATACTTTATTTAAAAAAAAAAAAAAATTAAAATAGTTATGATTAAATACTCACTTGACTTAGTCAATATGAAATAAAACGAGCTATCCACAAAAAAATGTATCTAAAGTAGGCCGAGACGGCCAAGACAGGATTAAATCCATATTATCATTTTAAGAACGAAGATTTCTACGCTCCGATATGCGTGATTTTTAAAATGAACTAAATTAGAAATATTTTTTGTGGATCACTATCATTTTAATAACTAACACAAATCGTAAATCTATACATAAATAGGCAAAGATAAAATAGATCGTTATTGGAATTCCATTGATCCACAATTATGAATTACGATTTACTAATAGAGTGGCGCAACCAGAATTTTGTAATGTGGGTTTGAAAGAAAAATATTTTTCAATTTTAAAATCGTCTTGATTCGCATCTGGGTCTGGAGGGGCTTTAAACCCTAAAACTTTCTCTCGATGCGCCACTCTAATAAGTCTGGGTGGTTTTAAACCCTAAAACCCCCACTAGCTACGCCACTCTAATAAGTCTGGGAGGTTTTAAACCCTAAAACCACCTCTCGCTACGCCACTCTAATAAGTCTGGGGGGTTTTAAACCCTAAAACCCCCTCTCGCTGCGCCACTCTAATAAGATTAGCCTATAGCGAACATGAGTATAGGTCATTCACTGAATTTACACCCATGTCGGATTAAGAAACAGATGCACAACTGAGCCGGTTTACAGGATAATTTCGCATCCGGTAGTTAAGTAAAATAAGCGTAGTCCTCCGGTGGGTGGAGGGTGAATATATTTTAATTTTAATTAGTGATTCAAAATTAAAATGTTTTGAACAACGTCAAAAGCGGAGAGCAAAAAAAAGAAAAAATACACACCTCGCAAAAAACTGAAAACGTCGGATATATCTGGTGGGACAAAATTTTGTATTCGTGATATGGTGTATGAAATGCGCGCGAAAAAGGAACATGTCAACTTAGACACATTGCTGGTTAACTTAAGAGAAATACAAATTGGTGAATTTGGCAGAACAAGTCTTTGGAAGTTGCTTAAGGAAATAGGTTTCAAAAAAATAATGTTGTTCACAAAAGAATACATTTTTTAAGAGAATACACTCGTTCAAAAGAGAATGGAGCTTCGTTTATATATTTGGATGAAACCTGGATATTTTCCAAAGCTGGGACGAAAAGAATATGGCAAGATGAAAATATAAAATCAATAAAACATTCTAATGGCGAGGGAAAGCGACACATAATCTTGCACGCAGGTGGAAAGAATGGATTTGTGGATGGTGCAGGATTAATATTTTCCTCTAAATCAAAATCAGAAGACTACCACGATAACATGAACTCGGATATGTTTATCAAATGGTTAAATGAAAAACTATTACCATATTATAGTGTTAGATAATGCGAGCTATCACACAGAACTTTTAAACAAACCGCCAAGACAGAATTGGACTGTAGCCAAAATACAAGAATGGCAACGTAACGAAAATGTTGCATTTCCACAATACGCCCTTAAATCTGAGTTGTTAACATTAGCCAAACGGCATGAACCACCACAAATTTATGTGGTAGATCAAGTCATACATAGTTATGGACATGATGTGTTACGGCTTCCATCGTACCGTTGTCAGTTTAACCCCATCGAACACATTTGGGGTATATGTAAAACGTATTATGACAATTATATTGGAATTAATGGTTACAGTGACGAAGCAGTAAGGGAAATATGGAAAGAAGCACTGGATACATCAACCCCAGAAATTTGGCAAAAAAGTATTCAAAAATGTGATAAATTAATTGACGACTGGTGTACACGTGAAAACAGGATAAACGAAATTAACCCTATAATTATATCCCTTAATGATGACAGCGAAGCTAGTGACACAAATTTTGAGAGTGATGCTGAAGATTTATAGGTATGTCAAAAGACAATTATTTACGATAATCACTGTTTAATATAGAATTTTAAAAGTTATGTTATTTTTAATCATCGTACTTACTTAATCGCATGGTAAAACTGTGTATGTAAATTAAAATTTTTGTTCTAAATAAACTATTATTAAACAACAAAATCATGTAACTATCTCTTTTAAGCTTTCTGAGGCAAAATTAAATACCTAAAATTTATATTTATTTTGTTTCTATAAGAACCCCTTGCAATATACAAAAAAACGCCACCCATGAGTAAATGTTTAAAATACAACTGACCTGTCAAATCTTTCATTTATTTCTTAATCCGATATGGGTGTACATTTAGTGAATGACCTATACCCTCTATTTCGAACCGACATGGAAAATATTACTTGGACGTATAGAGGTTCGCAAATAACGAAAAAAATTACTCTGCCAAGCCTAAATGGCAAGGGATAGAAAATACTAAGAGTGGGGCCGTGGGCCCCGCCTGAAAATATTTCAAACTGCCCAGCTTCTCCTTGTTCTACTTCACCCCTCCCTCCTAGAGGAGGTCGATATATAGAATCCCTAGACTTAGGAAAATTAACTTCGGGTACGAGACGGATTGGAAAATCCACCCCCCCCCAAAGGACAAGTCACCGCATCCCTTCCAAATGTAGGTGGAGGTCAATTCGCCTCTCTTTAAGTGTAGGTGGAGGTGAAACATTTTTTATAATTCGAGTATTTTGAGATATTGGTTGTATAGATAATTAAAAAATTAGAGATATTAGAAAAATTCGAAGATTAGGCTGACCTCCTTCCCCAACCCCTTTTTTTATACCTTTCCTGTTTTTAATGATTATTTTCGATATGGTTCATAACAGGGTACAGGGTGAGTTCGGATATTGTAGAGCACCTAACCCCTCTTTTTTAGGGGCCTCAAGAGTAACCTCAAAATAAGAATTGTGTTTCATACAATATCAAAAAATGAGGGTTTTTAAATTGTGGTTTGCTGTTATTGTATTGAATTTATTTTTTATTTAATTACAATGGTACTGAACTATGTTGTATTGTAAGTACATACAAAAGTTTGTCGTCGCAGATATACAATGAATGAATGTATAAGAATAAAAAAAATTAGAAATATGCAAATGCATGTTTTCCTCAAATTTTTAATAATGATTATGGTCGAATTTCGACCACTGGGCGAAAACTAGTTTAAATAAATATGCAATATTCGTTCAGTTATATTTGCTTGTCAGTAATTTTACAGTAAGTGATATGGGGGGCTAAAGGAAACTTTTATAGTTACTTTATTATACTTTTTTTGTATACAGTGCTAGCCAAAAGTCTCCTCTCTCTATATATTTTGAACAGTTATACTTAAACTAATGAAATTTTCAACTGGTGACGTTACCGTCATAGATGGCGCACCACAGTGTCAGTGTGACGAATAATTTTAAACTGGATCCTGTGGCAAGTGACACCTCATTTAAATGGTATTTAAAAAACCTATTCAACCATCACAGTTTTGTTTGGGTTTAAGGCTGTTTTGACGTATTAAATAAATAAATAGTAAAATGTAGCGCATAATTAATACAGATTTAAAAGTCCGCCCTATAATAATTGTTCAAAATTTACTGTCTGACAGTAAAACATCCTATTGCGAAACTGTTCTAGTACTTGTTAAAATTTTTCAGGGAAAATTGCTGTACATTCTTCTAAAGGTGTAAGGTCGTCCAATCTATCTTCCAGGATATTCCGCATACAAGTAACGTCTGACTGCATCATAATAGTGTGCAGGAGCAATGGCGGTGTCTAAGATCTTCAGGTATACTTCGACTGTTAAATTGACATTTAAAAATGTAGGCACAACTACGTGGGTTCCCAGAGTGCTTTCCCAGACATGTATTTTTTTTCACGGAACTCATAAAGATTTGTGTTAGTCCAGTACCTCACAGTCACATTTAGAGTGATCACATTTCTACTGAGATTGAAAGTACATTCATCACTAAAGCAATTTTTTTTAAATCGTCTGGCTTCCGATCGATTCTAGTTGTTATATTTTCACAGAATTCCAGTCTTCTCTCGAGATCGTCATCTGAAAGTGGATGCATCCATTTTAATTTATAGGACTGTAATTTGTGTTTTTCATACACCCTGTGCACTGTCTTTTGGCCGGTAGATGCAATTTGCGTTGTTGAAAACGTAGTGTTTTCTACAATTTTTACAATATTATTTTTTATTAAAAATTTGTAGTCGGCCAGATTGTACTGCATCTTAAATACTCGTTGTTTTGAACTTTTGAAGAAGTTCCCTCATATAAGTCCAGGATATAGGGCGATCGGGATACCTTTCTGGAAGAATTTTTTGTATTTTCAGCAAGTATCAAGATATCCTGCTACTTTGTCTCTAAAAAAGCAAAAATAAAGCATGTTAAGTCAAGTTTTTTGACAAATTAACAGAGCCGTATTTTTGAATCTGAATTATACGCAAAATTGAAATTTTAGTACTTATTTTTTTAATACTGTAATGCGCGAGCTATTTCATTATTCAGTCATGCTCTCTGTCTTATTTGGCCTTTTGAGTCTCAACTTGTCCAATTATCATACCTAATTAAACCCCTTAAGACCAAACGTATGTGACGACTATGGCAGAGGCACTTTCGCGTACATTCCTGAGTCAACGTGATAATGTTTCTAGTATATTCCCGATATAATGAGATGTTTCTATTTTGGCGAAGGAGCATCCACCAGAACTTTAAATTTGTATATAAATATTGGTGGGGAACAACGTATCATTCATTAGTATACAAACAGCTGTGAAGATAAATAGTGAACAATTTAGAGACTTCGAAATATATATAAATTAGAATAGTAGTGTTATAAAATAAATAAGTGTTTAAATAAATTATTTACAAATAAACTGTTGTTTATAATAAATAAACATTACAATACGTCAAAACCTTAAACCCAAACAAAATTATGATGGTTGAATAGGTCTTTTAAGTACCTTTTAAACGAGGTGTCACTTAACCATGGGATCCAATTTAAAATTATTCATCACACTGACACTGTGGCGCCATCTATGACGATAGCGTCACCAGTTACCATAATAGAAAGAGTTTATATCCATTTATTATTCCAAATTTCATTATTTTAAGTATAAACGTTAAAAATATACAGGGGGGTAGGGGACTTTTGGCTAGCCCTGTATAGATGAATCAGTGGATCCCTTTTCCAGTATAATATTAGCTCATGTTTGGCGTATTCATCTAATATTTGTGTGGCTACAAATTTCACTTTATCGTAGACGGACGACCAAAGTGTCTGTGCAAGAATATTTGGACACTTTGCCCTTTAAGCCTGTCACTGTAAACATATTTTGGCCCTTTACATTTGAAGCCAGCATTTGTAATATTTGACCCATTGATATTTTAAGCCTGTCAATGTAAAGATATTTGGTCCCTTTACCACTTACGTCCGTATTTACATGTAAAAATATTTTGGCCGTTTACCCTTTAAGCCTGCCCATGTCAAAGAATGTAGACCTTTCGCCCCTGAAATCTGCCCATCTAAAATGACCCTTGTATTTAAATATTGCTTGGCTCTGTAGAAATAATATTTGGGGTCTTTACCTTTTTGATTCTAATGTTGAATTCCGTGCAAAAATCATCGTTACTTCACGATCCTGTATGTTATTCACGTAAGATCGAGATTTATTTCAATAATTATTTTTACTTATCTAGCACTTTCATTTACAATAAGTAATCGCTCAAAATTCCTTAAATACTTTATTTGATACTTAAGAATGACAGCAATATCAAAAATTTCATTCACAGTCAGTTGAAAAGCGGCTATCTAGTGAAATCAAGAAATCAGTACCCATGTCGCAGGGCATAAAATAATTTCCATAAAAAAATGCATAGAATTTTAAAAATACTGATATTTTAAGCACTAAAGTAAAACCGAAAATTCTGAATATTAATAGGGTTCTCGGCTTGAATAAATTAAAAAGTCAAATCCACAGGACGTTTTGCGTTTTCGGAAACGTAGAGAAAAGTGAAAATAAAGACTGGGGGTTAGACAATTTTTTCGTTGACACGGCTGCAATACGGTCATTTCTCTATTTCCACAGTATACCAACTCCAATCGCAATTTCACATTCCTATAGGACGAATTAATACGACATTCGTGCGCAATTTAATTCCGGAAAAATTTGTAAGGACAGAAGGATTTTGACAATAATTTTGGTATAGTTTGATCGCATAAAATCAACAACTTCAAACTTAAATATATCGAAAACCGTTTTTGCTACAACCTTGACGCTTATTACTTTTTTTACATATCATTTTCGATAAACATCCTTGCTAGTTAAAAAATACGCTATTAATTTCCAATGCCACTTGTAAAACTTGACAGTACTTGACGTATAAAACTTATCGCATAATGTAATTTTTTCATAGCTATATATACACAAAAATCTCTCCTCCAAATATCAGTAACAACCAATTTTACTACATTTTTCTTGTGAAACATAAATGAAATATAATGCTTGTAACAAATTTAACAAACCGTTCACGAGACTCAAGAAAATTTAGTTTATTGTAAAAACTTCAAAGTATCTAAAATAATATAGATTGTAGCAAAAACACTTTCAGTATAAAAGATTACTAATTTTTATTACATAAAACTATTAATATCTTAATTTGATTTAATAATAATTTGCATCTTATTGTTAAAAAAATCTTTCGTTAAATCTTTGTATAAACACATATTATTATGTATAACGTGAGAGATAAATACATATAATCATCTTTAACTGATATCGTTCAATATTAAAAACATATTTTCCAATATAATATAAAAAAAACTATAATCAACTTCAATTCGCCCATTTCTAACTAAATTGTAAATCATCAAAACAAAAACAACACAAAACAATTCAGCACATCGATATCCATAGAAAAAACAAATTTATACTTACAAATTATTAAACAATTTAAATAAACAATTGCTACCCTTCGCGCCATGATGTTAGGCAGCACCTTGCTCGGACTACATGAACGTTTAGACTGTTGCGGACCCGTACGTCCTTCACGAGACTTACCAACAGTCTAAGAACGAGGGCGCGTGCGCTCTGACGTCAGTCAATACGCGTACGCGAGCGCAAAGGGTGGAAACGTGGGTGAGACGTTCATTGAAATGTAGGGCTGACGTTTCGAACGTTTACTACACTTCGTTTTGCGTTGGTGGTGGAAATCTAGAGTTCGGACAGGGATGACGACAGGGGTGGCTGCTTCGTTTCGCGAATTTTCCGGAAAAGCTATTTGGTTGCAAACGATGAGTTTTTGTTTCTTTCCAGAGAAGCAGATAATTTTTTAAATACTACCAATTCGCTAGCACCGAGACAGCATAAATGTCCATTGGATATAGATTTTTGAAAGATACCTGACCAAAAAGTAGTTTCTTCTGGACTTTCGATATCCAATGTACGTCGTCTGGCACACTTTTAACTATGTAGAGAACGTCTCTTTCTGGATTATATACGGACATTGCACATTCACTCAATGAACTTTAAAGAATGACCAATGGACGTCCATTGAACGATTGTGATAGGATACTGTACATTCAAAAGACGTCCGTTTCTTACAGAGTATATTCTATGTTCAATGAGCGTTAAACGACGACCAATGGCATTGAATTTCTTTTTTTTTTGTCTCTAGGACATGACATCAAGCGGAAGGGTCAAAGGTCAGCGCTGTTGACATGAATGAAGGTGGAGTTGAGAGGTTTTTTTTTTTTCATAATTCCAGTATTTTGAGATATTGGTTCCATAAATCATTAAAAAAATTGGAAAAATTCAAAGAGTAGGCGACCTCCTTCTCCCACCTCTTTTTTGGATGCCTTTTCTGGGCTGCTAATGATTATTTTTGATATGGTTTATGGCGGGGTGCAAGCTGAGGTTGTATATAGTAGAACGATGTGGATATACCACACACAACCTCCTATTTTTAGCAGGGGCGTGCGGTCCATGGAAGCGGATGAAGCACCGCTTCCCTACACTTTGAGATTTAAAAATAGATATTTTTCAGTTTAAAATGCGTAGAAATTAATATTAAATTAGGTACTATATTTTCTCTGAAACATTACGTAAACTTTGTAAATGTTCTAAAAATTCATTGGTGTAATGTGTAAACGCACGCACCACCCATGAGAAAATTAATTGTGTAAACGTACACACCCTATACTTTGAGTCTGTTGGCGGAAGCGCGTCTTGAAAGAGCCGGTTCATCTTTCAATAGGTTTGGCTTCATGTTATTGACGCTGCTTTGCACGACAGTAGACAGTCGGTTTGGAAACGAGAAATACGGTCGAGAGGCAGCGATTTTTACGTCGCCATACGTATATTGCAATTCGCACCGCAAATCGACGTGTAAAGAAAATCGTAGATTTATGTTTGTTTTTCGTAGTTGTTTTTCTTTTTGTAAAATTAAGGAACCATGCACTGTGCCTGTGAACAATAATAATGTGGTAAATTGTGTCTGTATTGTGTGCTCTTTGTTGAAAAAGGGATTTTCAAGTAGAAATTTTGAAGGGAAAACGGACATTATTAATTCTAGTAGATTAAAGGATCCTATCAATTTAGAGACGAAAGTAGAAAAGTCAACAAAGAAATTTACCAGGCATTTTCACGTAGGGTTCTATGAAAAGTATGAATGGTTAACCGGCTGCAAAACTTTGAAGAAATTGTTTTGCTGGCCTTGCCTACTTTTTAATATAGCCAAAAAATTCACAATGAAAGGGTAAAAAAATAGGGACGTCTTTCCTGGGAGAGCATGAATTAAGTTTTAGGGGTCACAATGAAGCAAGTGGATCCGCCAATCGAGAAAATTACATGGACCTTCTAAGTTTTTTAGCAAAATATGATGATACCCTAAAAAATCATTTTATTGATTCGACGACTTTCTGAGGTACCTCAAATAGAATCCAAAATGAATTAATTAAATGCACTGCCGACGTTGTGATGGATTACATTAAAAGTAAAATTAAAAAAGCACCTTTCGTATCAATTACGCTTGATGAAACCACAGATGTAGCAAACTTAAGTCAATTATCCATTGTTGTGCGATATATATTGGATGGCATTCCTCAAGAGCGATTCTTAGGATTTTTGGACATCACTAGCGAACAAACTGCTTAAAATTGTTTGTGACATCATTTTAAGTTTAGAATGTGGTTCTAAGCTTGTTGTCCAGAGCTACGATGCTGCTGCCGTAATGGCCTGGCCATTTAGGAGGCCTTCAAGCTAAAGTGAAAGAGAAGTTTAACCATGCAATTTTCGTTCACTGTATTGCACATAGACTTAATTTGGTTTTATCGCGAAGCATGGATAATATTAAAGATTGCAAAGTTTTCTTTTCGACGCTTAGTGGTTTTGGCTTCCTTCTTTTCAAAGTCATCGAAAAAAACTCGCGCTTTGGACATTCACGTTCAAAAAAGGTTTCCACAAGTTGCTCCGACGTGATGGAATTACAATAGACGTTTAATGCAAACAGTGTTTCAATACCGTGATTCTTTGATATACTTTTTTCAAGACGTTTGGGATAATAAAGAAACATGGGATGCTGAAACTGTTACTGCCGCTAAAGGGTATTTGCATTCGCTCAAAAAAACTTTAATTTCTATTTTTTGCTTGATGACTTTCCCTTTTACTGACATTATATTCGACATTTTACAGACAAAGTCAAATGACGTTGGCTTTTGCATTAAACAAATTGATGATTTTAAAAATAAAATGAATAAAAAACGAGATCAGTTTAAACACTTTTAGAATAAGACTCAAAACATTGGCTTGGAACCTGAAAGGAAGAGAATTAGAATTGATAATGTCGGCGACAGAGAGAGACCTCCTATCGTCGATTATAGGAAGCTTTTCAATGGTAAGTTCTTTTATAGCTTCTAGTACTAAACTAGGTAATATAGTAATTGTAACACTTCAAAAATCTCAATCTCGAATATTCGTAGTACTGAGGAAAAAAAGCAAGATTTTGATAAAATGGTGAAAGCGCCGCGAAAAATGTTCGCCTGCGGCGCTGTGCTTACTGGCCTGCTGTATTTTGATACAATCGCTTCCCCTTCCAAAAATGTCACGGCACGCCACTAATTTTTAGGGGCATTAAGAGTAACCTCAAAATAAAAATTTTGTTACGGGTAACTTTCTGTCTCAAACGGAAAAGTATCACTTTTCGCTCTTAATAAAGGAATATTTATTGTTTTTCCTGAAAAAAAAAAAAAACCTGATTTTAGACATGTGCTGTCTTTGTAAAAATTCTTCAATTTCTCAACGAAGAGACAGTACCATGAACTTAGAATACACATATTTATTTATTTCTTAAATTGAAAGGACTACTCGAGCTGTGCAAAGGTGATGAATCCATCATACCTCATAATGTACTATAGTTTTTATTTTCCTTGAGGCCTAAAGAAGCAGCGTCAACCAAAAAATATAGAAAATTGGCGGAAAACGATAGGAGTATGAGGAAACTGGGATTATGATTAAAAGAGTGCAGTCTACAATTATTAATAGTGGGTTGTTTTTTACTAATATAGGTAATCCTACATATAAACTGTGATATCTTATTTTTTTAAAATTTTTTTTTTACCAGAAAACTCTAGTAACTGATTAAAATCTGTCCTACTATTTGACCACAATTTTAAAAATATTCAATAGTTATTTATTTTTCCGTTCTAGGTGTTTTTTAACGAACCATTTTTACACAAAATGTTTAAACCTAATTTTCTTAAAAATTAGTTGCTACACTCTTCGTTGTAGACATCGAAATATACACACATCAAACTTACATTAAATAAGGTATAAATTTAGCAGTTCTTCCATAGTTCTGTTTTCTTATGATGAGTATAACACACTTTTTTGTTTCCTTTTCCACAATAGTAGTTTGGGCAACAAGAGTGGATATGATGGCCATAACGCACGAAGACGAAATTTGAGCACGACGCCGTAAGTTATTAAGATAATATAATTAATTTAAAAATAATTTGTCTTTTACTAATTTATAAATTAAAATAAACAAGAAAAAAATTCATTTTATATTACTCCATCTGAGATTCGAAATCGAGTCTTCTGTATGGAAGGCAAGAACGCTGACCACAGGACCATCTACGCGTTTATTTTGTTGGCTTTAATACACTTAATTAAATTGACTTCCTATAGTTTTATTTAAATTAACAAATTATTTATAATTATAGACGAAATAAAAATAGAAATTCTATTATTTATCGACTCTACACAAGAATAATTCATTTTAATGTATGCTTAGTCTCAATAACTAAAAAATATACTGACAATTAGTTTGACAGAGTTCATTAATTTAAAATTTTAAAAATAATAGCAGTCGGTTGATCAAAATATGAATTGTGATTGGCGAATTTAATTTTTTGCAGTGTTCTCACTACCTAGAATGGATATGAAATATATTCGTTCAGTTGACGGCAATACCATACTTTTTCGTTTTGTAATCTGTGCATAGATAAGCTAATATCCATGTGGGCATAAAAAAAAGCTTTTCAACATTGCTTTGGCACCTTGTTTACCGTAAAAGAAGGCTGGATTTTGCATTCAAAGATTTAGAAATAATTGTGTTATGTGGTAGATATCGGTATCCGGGTGATGAAGTTTTTGGCAGGTTATTTCATGGACCTCAGGGTACAGGAATGTCATCTGGTGATTATTAAATTATTATGCCCCATTGGCTAGACTTTGGAACTATCTTCCCAAACAATCTTTTCCTAACCACCCTAATAACAAATTATTCAAGACCCGCATCAACAAGATGCCTCTGCTTTTGCAGAAGACCTTTGCGGTTCTTATGTTTTTATCTCAGCGGAAGTCAATCCGTAATAGTAGTTTATGTTACAAGGACGAAAAGTTGAGTTTTTTCAGGCGATTACGAGAAGGAGTCCGAAAAAAACTTTTTTTCCATGTTTCATACGTTGTTTTTATTCTAATGTTCTTAGATATTAAAAAATATATAGAAACTTAAATCTGAAATGATATTATTTCCAATAATTTTTCCTTAACTGAGTTGAATATGAGAACA